TTCTATATAAATTTCAGTACATTTCTCCAAAGTACTAAATCAATTAAAAACTTATTATGAAAAAAGCATATAAAATAAAAAAAAAATGAAGTAATATAAATAAATAAATATTTCATTATTACATTCAGACAATTATATTAACAATTGTATAAATACAAATAAAATTTTATGTGTTTCAAAGTGAGAAAACTAAATAATATAAAAAGCGTGGTTTGTTACAGTAAAACGTCATATGTATAAAGAAAACAATTTTTGTAAATTACTGTTGAAACTGAAAGCAAAAAAAATGGTTTATATTTTCAAAGAGCTATCAATTTCATTTACAATATGTATGTATTGAATAGTTAGTAAAACTGCGTAAATTTAAGTACCTATTACTCCTCAAAAGTTCAAAAACCACTAAAACATTTAAAATTTCAACATAATATAGCAATTAGGAAAAAAAAAAAATAATTAAAATATAAAAATAATATGTCGTTGTTACATGTACGTATATAATTTAATAACTGTGGAAAAAAAATTCTATTTTTATCGTTGAAGTGTGAAAATTAAATAAAAAGAAAATGAATAAAAGTTTGAAAATATCAATCAAATAATGTATATATTTTATACTAACAGCTGTAAGTCAGGTGTATGTTAATTAATTTTTTTGAAATTCTGATTTAATCGTCAGAATAATGTAACGATTAATTATTGATAAAAAAAACCAATAATTTTTTAGTTTAAAAAAAGGTACTTTTGGCACGCTAAATTCGTGTTTCATCCCACTGTGTACCGTGCCGAAAGAGCGACAGGTGGAAGAGAGGATATTACATAAGCATCGCTTGTTTATTTCCCTTTAAAACATCTAAATTGGTTTATAGAAAATTAGGAGTTTTTCTCAAACAATTTCATAATATTCTAAATTTGATGCTATACTATTAAGATAAAATTAAAGACAAAGAAACATGTGTATATATTAAATATTTACAGAAATTTAGCTTATCACCTTGTTTATAAATATGTTTTACCATACATTTTTTTTACTATTATAGGACTTACGATCCCTAGGAGTAAGTGTACAACTAATGGATAGCCAATAGCCATCAAAAAGAATCTCGCGTTCTATACCTAGTCACTACACGGAACTATAGAAAATAAAATAAGAGAGCTAGAATTGCAAGACGATGTATCTACATTAGATTAGAACTTTATATTGTTACAACATGTATTATTTTATAAAAAGTTAAAATGTTATGAATAAAATGGTTCATTGTAATTATTAACTTTAATTAGGTAATATGTTTATTTTTATGAAAATAATTTCATTTCTGCCTGTAAACATATCGGTACTTATACCTATTGCATATTATTTTTAATATTATAAAATGTTTTTTTAAAAAATAATGTATTATAATTTATAGAGCCATAGAGGTAATTTGTACACATCATTATTATTGGACCATCATTATACAGTAACAATATGTCAATTATTACACAAATCATTTTAAATTATTGGGATTTTTCCACTGTGTTAGGAGGAATACAAAAATAGTAATTTTCAAATTAAAAATAGTATAAATAATTAACGAATCTTTAATAGTTTAATGTAATGTTTATTACACAATTAGGTATAGAAAACTACTTACTTACCTACTTACTTATTCATAAATCTTAGAAATTAATTACGAATCATAATATTATGTAAAATCAATATTTAATGTTGATCAACATAAAATTTCATACAATGGTTGTGGAGAATCATATAGTGACGATCCACCTGAAAAAGTTTTAAATTAATCATTATGAATTATTATTAATATTATTAAATAACCTGTACAATTATTTGTTTTCAGTCGCTACTCCCTATTAACAATAACAGAGGTCAAGAATTATTTTTTTGTTCATTTGAATGGTTTACTTTGGTTACGGAATACAATTACCTATATATATCGGCTGTTCCGTAAAAACAAAATTTATGACTGGTAACGCTGGCGAGACAGCTAATTGTATATAAAACTATTGTTAAATGGGCTACCTATTGTCCTTAGAACATAAAGTTTATAAGTTCAGATACTATTAGATCAAATTTTGATTTATAAGCGTCTACAATTAAAAAAAAACATCGGTTTGGTAACTGTCAGTAAAAGAAGTTAGTTACCTTAGAAAATAAGAAGTTCGTGTTGGTATACACTTCAAAATGCAATAAATCAGAATTTGAATAAATTTATTACTAAAGGAATAATGTGTTTGAACATGCTCGATTAATAAATCGGTATAACAACACCTAAATTTGGATATATTATTTGCTTATAAAACTAAATCAAAATCAATTCAATTTGTTGAAAATCAAAAATTTAGGTACCTCGTATCTACAATCTACATAATATTATAAAAAAATTCAGTTCCGTTTCGATTCGATTCGATTCGATTTTTTAAAAGATTATTTTTCTAGTAACGTCACTTGACATCAACTTATGGAGAGTTTGTATCGATTAATTACCATTTTAAAAAGTTTTGAATTCAAGTGAAAACATTTTTTTTTAATTTTTGCAAGTAGGTAATGTACAATCTGTATCATTAATACAAATCTTGAAATACAGCCTTATAGGTATATACTATATATACTGAATTTCAATTTTCCTATTATTACCTGTGTAATGAGGTGCTGAGAACACTGGACAAAATAGTTCTGGATGAATTGGTAAATCAACATTGGTAGCTAAAAATTCATCAATTAGTAATCTTAAGTAAATAAATAAAATGATTATTAACTTGTAGATATAGTTAAAAATATAAATAGATAATATTTTTTAGAATTATAGATGAATTTCAATAGAATATAATATACATTATAATTAATATGGGATAATTGGATTTAATTAATAATCCTATTTTCTGTTATTCGAGTTATGATAGGTACACAATAATTATGATAAAACATATTACAATTTTAAGTGAACAATTAATCTGTTTTACAGCAATGGTGTGATATTTTTCAGTTATTATATCGAACTCCTAATGACCTTATTGTACATGTACCTACATAATATATATTAAATTATGTTTTTGTAGGATTTATCAGAATTTATTCATAATTATTCAATAGGTAGATAATTGATTTCAAATAAAAAAACATTTAAAAAACTGATGCATTAAGCTATATTTGCATACATTATAATATGAGGTTTATGTTTAATTATATCTTTTAAGTTTTAATGATTAATATTATTGATTAATTTCATTAGACGCAATTGGGAATGTGTTTTATATATTTCTAAATAGTTTTGGATCAGATAGTACCTACTCATATACCCACACTAATATGAAACATATATATAGATTGTCATGAAACATGTTCGTTATTACTTATTAGACATATTGAAATTAATTTAATGTCGCAT